GAATTTCTGAATTAGAACATGAATGTGAATATTTTAAAAAACAAATCGCTGAGTTTAATACTAAATTAGAAAATTTAAATTTATATCAAAATCAAGTTAAAATATTAAAAATAGAAAAAATAAATTAGAATATAAAAATATATACTTAAATAAACAATGGGATGAGTGATATAATACTCAACAAATGCGTATAATAGAAATCGCCAAAATTGCCTTTTTAGAACGAAAGTTTTTATATGATGATATTGTTTACCTAATTAATGATCAAAATCGATTTTTATTAGAAAATTTATTAGAGTTTGATCCTCCTAATTGGCTTAGATATCGTAATTCTGTAATAGTAAAATTTATAGAGACACTTACAGATAATGATGATAAACAATTACATCAAAATAAAGATTTTAAACATGTAACTGCCATAGATGCAATTTATAGATCATGACATAGCAAATATGTTTCTGCAATAAACCTTGTTGCATCTGCAATTAAATATTCCATTGCCCGGTCTAAACTTATAATAGATGTAGATAATTATATTACTAGTAGGGGTGGATACACAAAATTTGTAAATTGGATTGAAAGTTTAGCAATTGAACCTAAGTCTTTGCCCGATGAATTTTTAGTTTTAGCCTTTGATAATGAACAAAAAGGCCAAAAGAACTACTTATATCGGGGCATAATACGGTTGTACATCTTACCGTAACTAGTTTTGTAGTTCTTAATTTTGATCCAAATAATAATAGTCAATTAGAAATTGAGCCACAAAGATGCAATTTACTTAGTAAAGATGATATTAATCAATTGTTTTATTTAAATGATAATATAAAACAAAAACTTGGAAAAGAGCTTCAATATTTTATTGACAAAATAATAAATAATTTACTTGCAAAAAAATGTCAAGACCTGAATGAAATTAATAAGCCATGACTAATAAAATGAAAAAATGCACACAATGTTTTACATTAGAAATTGATAACAAAAAGCGTAATTGTCCTAATTGCAATACAAAATTATCAACACTTACTTCAATAAATCAAGTGTCATCTTCCCAGCAACTATTAGTATTAGAATTAGAAAATATAAATAAAACAATAATATTTAAGCTTTACGAGCTTAAAGAACAAAATAAATCTAACATTAAATTACAAAAATCTAGAATTAGTATAACACAAAAAATTATAGTAGATCAAAATGTAAAAATTCCAGAATTATACATTTCTGATCCGATTTCTATTAATCCTAATTCTTTAATAAATGTTCAAAAAGTTTTAGAACATATAGAAATAATTGCTGGAATTAAATCTGGGAAGCATAAATGGATATCTGTCGTATGTGATGGCATAATTTATAATCAAGCATTAAAGTTAAGAAAGAACTTTCTGTGGCTAATCTTACTTCCAGATGCCCTACATGAAGAAATGAATATGCTTAAAGCATTTGTTGAGTTAAACTGGTATAGACTAATTTTCAAAATTATATTACTTTTATTATTTTTTTTACTTACATTTAGTTTTTAATCTTTAAGGGAAATAGATATAAAAGCATTTGTCTGGTGCCAAGGATATCGAACAGATAACCAGCTAGAGTTTTTTCATAAATGTGCTGACTATCATAAATCATGAGACTTGATATGTAATATTTACTACTATTCTATGGCATCAGAATTAGTTTGGGCATATGTTTTAAATCATAACGATCCAACTCCTAATGAATATTTGGAATAGGCCAAAAATCAAGTTGACGAAACATATAAACTAAAATTTGAACAGGTTAGTTATCATATTAATTTCAATTTATATATAAAATATAAAATACTAAATATAATTAATAATACAGTATAGATTTTTACTTATCTTCAAGCTATTATTGACCTTCGTACTGGAGTTCGAAATAATCAACCTTTGTTGCATAATGCAGCTAGGCATCAATTTGCACTAATATGGTCATCTAGACATCATCCAATTTACAGAATGCTTGAAATATTTTATGAAGAAAATCTATTATATTTGAGGCCTCATATTCGTGAAATTGTTGAAAATTTCTCAGTTGTATCTCATTCTGGGCTTCAGAATCAACATCAAGGACTTGATGCCGTTGTAGAAGAAATTAATAAGGCATTAAAGTCTTTAATTTCTCCAGTACTATCATAACATCATTGGGAGATTGCTGCAAAAAATTATACAAATTTTATGAAGGTAATTCAATAATATTATACTTCAAGTTAAATCTGGTTATTCTGAATTAGAATTAGACAGGTTCTAATTTAGTTATACGTAGTAATATAATTTGAA